CCACGTCTCGTCCATGTCGACACACACACCACGACCTACCCCACACGCTCGTATTTCCGCTCACGTTGACTCTACCCAATTTCTTACGTCTCACATACGTCTCTCTCCACTTATCCATCTCCGACGCTCAAATTTCGTCTTCACAACCTTCCCACACCTCGAAAACATCACGAACACACCCTATTCCACCAACACGTCAAACACATCCTTCCCACCCTCCCGTCACGCCCACTCAACCTTATCCAAACCGCTCACAACCGTCTCTGTCATATTTTTCACATCAACACGCTCAAAACCAACCTTCGACCCTCGCTCCATCATTTATCTTACGCCTTCATTCCACTCTCCACGTCCGACTCAAAAATACACATAAAATACCCGAAAAAAATCGATTTTCTGCCCTATTTTCCCACGGTTATATCAGTCTCCACGTGACATTTTCAAGTCATTTGCGCTCTTCCCTTGGCGACTTGCTGTCTCTCTTTACGCTGGTGTGTGTGTCTGTTTCCTCTTTTCGGGTTCCACACTATGTTGAATGGCGACACAAGAGTTACGGTGTATACATCAGTAAACCCTTTCGGCAATTTGTGGCACTCATTCTTGATTTGTACTCGTAATATGTCATGACTCCCGCTGGATTTCCTCCAATTAACACTCCTACCTCTCTACCTACAAGTACAATAACCTCGCTCCCCCTACAAAACCATTTGTCTTCCTCCATCCAAATTAAGACATATCAGCAACACCTTTCACCCCCGCAACCGTCGTGACACTGTCTGCATCCGACCTCGTCATGAGCTCTTCAAACCGTCTCACTATCTTTCCCTCAATATCAGGAAAGGTCTCACAAGAAACCACACCATGTCGAGCTCTTCTCCTAGGCTCATTCGTGCCCGTCCATCTGCTATATCTACTCCCGACCCTGTGCCTGTGAGGGAAGTTTTGGTTTGGTTTGAGGAGGAACTTGTAGGGGGCGTGGAGGTGGCGGTGGTGGCGAGGAGTTAGTTGGGTATTGTGATTGCCATCTTGCGTGTGATTTCGACGGAGAGATCTAGGATTTGATTTCTAGTACGGATGTAAGTGCAAAGGTAACGATAACTGCTTGTGATTTGATGAGTTCGGACGCGGTGATTAGCGATAAACGACCGAGATTGAGGGCAGCCTGTGCGAAGTTAGAGCAGGTCGCTGGCTAACATATCCGCACACCCCAACATACAACAGGAAAAAGTGTCAGCTCAGCCTCATGATCCGCACGCATCGACACAAGAATCCATGAAAAGGAAACGGATTGACAGACAGTTGAAGAAACACACCTGCACGAAGTCAGACAACTGAGCCCAAACCACACCGTCTTCTTCGCCGTCGGATGTGAAGTATACATCCCCCCTCGTCGCTTCCGAAAGCTGGAAGTTCTGGCTTACACCCAGATCTATCGCGTCCGCCTCTTTGCCTTTCACGGTGAGGTTCGTTTCGTTCGGGCCTAAGGCCATGGAACGAAACAGGGCAGGACGAATTGAATAAAATCAGTCCCCGGATGTGGACATGGACGTGGACATACGCAAAAAAGAAAAGACTAACTTTGTTGCTCACTTCTCGCTCTCGCCCACCGTCCGGCCAATCAATATCCTCCGTCCGAGAACAGGGAACGAACTACCAAAGCACACTCCACAGCACGCTCTACGCCTTGAACAACAATCTCGACTGTGCATCCTGCGGCATCATCGCCCAATCCCTTCTCGCTCCCGTCGTTATCTCCCTTCGCCCTCATCCTGTCTATCATACCTCCCCGCACTCTTGAATTCTCATTCCTCGGACACCCCGAAAGGAGATCTAACGAATCATCGGAACCTGAGCCGGATGCTGTGGGAGTCCGGATCCCTCGTCCTCCACAGCAGCGATGGTCCATCAAGTGCAGACGGTGCATACCTCACAGAGCACGCGGAGTCTTTGTTCGTGTAGGATACGAGGACGTAGCTCGTCGTAGTGATAGCCGCGAGGGGTTTGGAGGTAAGCGTTCTGGTTGCTTCGTTTGGTGATTGTGTGTATGCTTGCGTGTGCGAGTTGTTTTTCGGTGGGAAGGTGGACAGTTTGTCGATTAAGTGCGTCGATTGGTAGGTTGATTGCGTGTGTTTCGATGCATCAGTTGAGGACGTTGGTCGTATGATTGGTTGGGCGCACGGGCCGAGCCCGCGGGTAGAATGGGTTCGTAGAGTTCGGGTGTCCGTGATAGGGGCGAAATGGCGGGGTGGTATCTAGATAGTTTGTCAAGAATGACGAAGGAGGGAGGGAGGAAGGGGGTAAGTGTGGTAGGAAGCACTGATAGACGGAGATGGATCCTTTCAGCGACCAACGAAACGATCGTAGAAGCACGAATTGCTTCATTACAGGGAAAAGGCGGGACGGAACGAGATCAATGCCTCGTGGAAGAGACGAACCAGAGTTCCTCTTTCCCGAAATCGAGAAGAGACCGATGGGGATCCCAGTTCTCCGTGAAGAACTACTTCAGACAACTCCATGCCGCCCTCGTCTGTTCCCACACCCATATACATTCAGGCCAGGCCATCCATTCAACGTCCTCCTATTCGTCCGTGCGTCCGTTCGTCGACAAGGTACGCATTCGTGACTGCAGTTATTGACGTTCCCGATAGTCGTTCAAAGTGGAACGGGGAGTGTATATGCTTCGAAAGTAACACTGTCAGCCACTTTCTCATCCAACACGGCTGAAATGGTCTCGAATTTTCGACATAGGGAATAGGACGGACGGCGAAGAAGGACGAAGAGAGGGCGCACCACCTCGAGGACCTCAACTGCACCTCCAACTTTCTCACCACGATCACTTTCCTCGCCGCAAAATACGCCGTGTGACACTCCTAGATCAAGAAACCATGAATTCGCATCAGCATTTATGTCGAAAAGTACGAACTCCAGCAAGGAGGAATGTGGCGCCCACGTCTGACGTCTTAATGGCACGAAGAAAGTGGACAACAAATTCGCAGATAAAATGATAACGTAGAGTGTGGAGGAAGGAGGCGTACGTACCTGCGACAAGGCAACGAATTGGTTGAGATGCGATGCTGCTCGACGCTCAAGCTCGGAGAGGAGACGACCGGAGCCATTGGATGGGAGATGGACTGGAAGCGAGTATGGAGATGTTGTGTTGCTATCGACTAGACTCCCTGTGTTACGATGATGAATGGATGTTATTAGTCAGCGCTAAAATAAACTGGGAGGGGATCCAAGGGAGTGGACGGGGGGTAGTGTGGCATAGAAAGTGTTGCGAAGATACTATGGGCTTGATGGAAAGAGCATACCTTTTCAGATGATGGCCGTGTGAGAAGCAGCATGAGTGCACATAGAGACGCGACGAAAAGCATCTTGACGAACGGCATCGCGCGAATCATACACGGTTCGAAGCGAAGGAAGTTGAGCTTTGCTTCGAGAGAGTGGCGCTACATTCAGACGGAGTCAGTAATCAGAACGAATCCCGGGCAAGGAAGAGAGTGAGAAGGAGAAGAACGTACGTGGGCCTTGAGAAAGTCGATGTCGACATCGACGCGTTCGACCATGTGTAGGAAATCGGTCCGGAGGACGAGCGAGTCTCCCGGATTGTTGAACATCCTCGTCGCGCGCTGCTACTACCGAGAATAATCGAGTCTCGTTCCGATCATTTCCTGCTGCTTCACCAACAGGTCCTACATGAGCCAAAGTCGTGTCAAGTTCAGTACGCACGCAACACAATCCTGGAGGAGAATCCCACCTCCCAACGACCAATGTCAGGTCTCCTACGAGCTCCTCCGCCCCTCCTCCACTCCTGCACCTCTTTACCATCCCTTCAACCTCGGCGTAGACTGCCTCTACCCTCCTCACTAATATCTCAAAAACGCCCGCCTAAACCTCAAACTATCCCAGATGTTTCCTAAAAACGCGACTCCTAGCTATGCACTAGCAACCTATCGAGGAGTGCAAACTAGTCGTAGAAAAACTGCGGGGATCCTATAGGTACGATGGGACGGATATGTGGGTGTGGGTGTGGGGTCGTGGGTGTGGATGTTGCAGAGAGACAGGGAGAGCGGGCGAAGGTGGAGCTTATGGAGAAGGGAATGCACAGTGTTGACCATCGCGATGGAGGTGATACTTTCACGAAACTGAGGGATACTGATCCTGAGGAGCACACTTCCCCCCACCGTAAACTATTCACCGTTGTGCAGCGTCAGCTCTGAAGAGGAGAGACAAAGTGTCACGAGACGGACCTTGAACGGCAACGAGTATGTATCAAGCCCATTTTACACGGCTACTACTCTCAAATCCTCGAGCTCCCAGAGTATTGCCATGGACTCTAACGCTTCGAGCGAGATGGACGGTTTGCTCTTTCATGGCTCTGAGCAGGTGCGTGAGGTAGCGCACCTCCCCGGCCGGATGGACGCGTCGTCATTCACTTCCGTTGTGAGTGCGTTCGCATTTCGTGCTCAGTAGGCTACCGTGATAATATGGAGATATTGGCCGTGATTAGCAGGATGTTAAGGTCGGTGAAGTGGTTGAGGGATGGCAAGGGCTGGGAGAGGCTGGGAGACGTCGATGTTCAATGTAAAGTTATCACTCGACCATCTAATCTTATCTCTAGATGTGGCACCAAAAATCTCCCGCCGTCGACCCCGAATTAGAACCTCTCCTTGCCTCGAACTTGCAAGATCTACTCTGTTTCTTTCTCCTGGACATCCCACCACCCGCTGCTCAATCGTTGAGATCGTGGACTCATCTCAGTCAATAGGTCGTATTATTAATGATCCTACTCTTTTTCGGCGCTTGGTGTGTGCTTGTTTTTCTTCTTTCCCGACCCGATGCTCTTCACTGTCGACATCGCCCCTCCTAATATATCAGTACTTCTCTTCAGCGTCAGTTTCAAGCAGCTACCACACTCTCCGCGCCTCCTATAACCGTACCCGGTGCGATGCATCACGCTTTCTCTGTCTGCTCCTCTTGCTTCGTCGATTCCGCAGTCGCGACTCCCCTTTGGGCCCTCAGCCTCACCACCGCTCTATCTCGTCCAACCATACTCTAACTCAAACGTGATGCATCTCCCCCAATCGTAATAGCCTCCCTCCACCTCTTGCACGCAGTGTGCGACACCGAAGGATCAAATTAGAGTGTTAGTGTGGCGACGAATTAGGGATCGTGTAACTTAGAACGACGTCGGGTAATAGGCAGACATCGGGCTACGCTGATGTTAGCCTCAAAATGCATGGTCAGTCGTGTTTCGCTTACTTTACTCTTCCTCCTGCTTTCGTTGGCTGCTTTCCTTTCGGTGCAATCAAGTATGTATGAAGAGATACCCTGCGTTGCGGATGCGACGGGTCCTACGTGGCCGCGACGAGACCTGCTTCTCGCTTCCTGTCTGTGCGTCTGTGCTCTCACAATGTGATCGTAGGCCTCCACACCCCATATATGATATATCCATTTCGCCTTTTACTGGACCAGTCGAGTAATCGATACATGCATCACTATGTAGGATGCATTGTTCCCCGCTCGCGGCAATCTCCTGGGTACTTCCGACGGAATGTGTATAGGGAGGAAATGCAATGGCCCTCGAGCTACCGGAAGGTCGATACGACCGATCCGACCATTCTCCTTTGTCCTTGTCCATTCGTTTTCCTGTCCATTATGCTGTTATACTCGCATCGTGGTGTCCTGCGCTGACAACTCATCTCGTTTGCTAGGGAACCCACTCGTAAGTCGACGACCTGAAAGACTAGCCGTTCCCTGATTATTGACTCCACCGTCCATCCCCCATCACCTCCACTGCTGTGATTCGAACACTGCGACTCTGGTCCTTCCGAACGTGCAGAAGAGCTTACAGTCTCTGGCCCCGAGTTTTGTGGCACTGAGGAATACCGAGCTAGAGAACTTAGAGAAGCGAAGAGAAGTGCGCGGCGGCGAGGCAAGAAAGGTGGAGGATGTGAGAGTGGATTGTGTTTAAAAGTTCTGGTCGAATGCGTAAGCTAGGATGGTGAGAGAGATGGGAGAGACGGGAGTGAGGTCAACTAGGGAAGGAATAACGCAAGGAGTCGTCATTTCAGTGACCAATGTGACAAATGGAGGGGATGTTTGACGGAATTCATGAGGGAGGCAAGGCGAACAGTTCTTGTGCACGAGGATAGCCTCGAGGAGACGAACGAGATGACCCGTTAGACGTTTGCGGAAAAGGATGAGGGTAGCGATGTAACGACGTGATATCGTCGTACTGTCGAAGATTCACGGCCTGGGGTGTGAGGCAGGACGAGAAGGTGGTTCGAAGGCGAAAAGGTATGGAGATGGATGTGTGGAGATATGGGCGTGTTGTTATGGTGAGTTTATTCCGTCCCCATCCTTATCTCACCCTTCTTGCACAGCTAAAATGTTTTAGACTTTTACAATCGAATATCGCACATTGCAATCCACTCGATTACATCAGACCTCGGTCAATCCCACCACGCAATCCGCTCCCTCCATTCGCCCGAACTGGAGGCTCTACTGCAACACACACCTAAAATGCTCCGATGTCGTTTCCTGAAGAAATGCGCCGCGCTCTCGATGGATCTCAATGAACGCGTACTCGGAAAAAATTGGGGAGAAAATGCAGGCTTCGGACTCTGAGTGGTACGACTAGTGATGGCAGGGTGAGAGGGGAAGGATGGCGTGGGACGGTGGCTGGGCGGTGGTTGGGCGGTGGTGGACGAAGGTGAGATGGTGTCGATGACTGGCTGTTGAGGATCAGGGATGCGTGAGTGCGTGTCGTGGATAGGCAACATGAGAATGACCGGGGATACTCTAAAATGGATGACGGAGCACCGCCATACGGACCGCACTCGTAAAAATAATCGTACGGCCTCTCACGTCCCCTTGAATTCTATACCCTACATGCCTTCATCACGTCCTCTTTTTCACCGCTCCTGTGTCGTGTACGCCACACAGATATCCATATGACCTCCAATCAACGACGCGACATCTTCTTCGCGCCCTATCAAACCGAGCTTGCTGTAACTATTACGATTTACGGTGGCCAGCATTGTATCAATTGTATTGCATTGTCCAGCATCCCATATCTTCTGGGACGTGTTCGTCTTCGGACGATAGAGCGCTACGTTGTTGGAACCGTACGACTGTGACGGACGATATAAACGATCGGGTCCTCCGGGGAAACGGTCGGATGAGTCGCTGTTCCCGCATGGGCTTCAGTGGGTCGCTTGTGGAAGGGTACGGTAGGTAATACAACGAAAAGCGGTAAACATCTTGACCTTGCACGTATGTCTTTCAATTTCCATCGTTACTTCTCTCATCTTTATATTGACGATTCTCTGTTTACGGCGGAACATCGCAGTAATATGATATTGTCTGCGCCGGACAATCATATACCACTAGTTGAACTCGTCATCACAGCGGGCGACAACGGAGACAACCCAAGAACGTCGTTGGTTTCTTCGAGTCTGAATCTAGAAGCAATCTACACGAACTCCCAAGCTTCGAAGACGAGGATGAAGATGTAAACCACTTATAACAGGCTGGCCCTGATCCTTCGTTCTCCGTGGCCCCAGCGTCATTGCCATTTGTAGGAAAGGAATTGACAAGATGTGGAACGGCTTGTCGGGTTCTTCAAGAGAGGGGCTGAAAGTCTGGCAGATATGGCGTCAAAGGCTGTGCGTTTGGTGTACAAACCGTCACTTGTACCACTCATATGGTGACCTGTACTGACTCATTCGATCTCTAGTATGTTTCTACTATGTCTTGAAGGCCAAAGCCTCCAGGATCAATGCCTACTCTTACTCGTCTCCCATCCTTGTTCTCGCCGGAATCTGTTGCCTATAGCGATCGCATCTTACGCGTACGTTGATCTCTCCTTGTTATCTATCTCAGTTCGTCAGACTCTGCGCTCTTGATTCAATACTATCTCGAGCAATCTGTATGCTGATACTCTTTCCTGGCGTAGTCTCCTCTTGCTCACCGACTGTCTCTCTTATGGTACAATACACTTTGTTGTCAAAGTACACACACCTCGCCACAGTGCTCCCTCCGGCAGTAGCATCACTTGGGCATACACTGCCTCAACAGATAGGGACAGAAGAATATCGACACCGCAAGGTGGAGTGAGTGGATGGAGTAAGAACGGGATATAAATTATGATCTGATCCACAGTGATTCGTGCGTCCCGTGTCTCCGGGAAGTCTGTTGACACAAAGATCTGTGACGAAACGGCTCAACTCGCTTACTGATATCTGCCCGCGAACAGCAAATTGACAGCAAAAGGTCCGCCTACTAAGGTAGGTGAAAAAAAGGAGGCGTGATACGCTCATAGAAGTATTCATAAGATTATTTTCCTCATCAATACGGTAGTGCCTTGAGTGGGTCTTGGCCTTGACATGTTACTTCATGACTCATGAGGGTGTTGAAGAATGCTTTAACCATGAGAAGTCGTCCCCCGTGTCAATTCCTAAAATTAACCGACCACGAAGTTGATATACAGCCGAATACATGAGTTGACCAAGAATATGACAAGGTCTCATGTTAGATGTATCATAGTGAAATCTTTCCTGTGATCTAGATGTATATATGCGTCTTCCCGATCATTAACTTATCCCGCTGTATCGGCTCCTCTTTTTAGATAGACGCAGCATATATTATTGAACAGATAGATCCAGTCCGATGAAACTGATGGATGCAGCGAGGGTGAAAAGATATTCCATGCTATCTTTCAAGGCGAATCACATCAGTCTCTTCATCATGGCGCTGGAGCCATCCCACATAAAAGCACAAGGCTGAGCATCACCAGAGACCAGCTGCACTCCCCATCTAACCAACTATCAGATCAGCTTAATGTCTACCACTGAACTGCCAATGCCACCGCCAGAATGGCTAGCTATCGTTCTTCCATTGGTGAAGGCCGTGCTGGGTAAGTCCCTAACTTGTTATGGCAGCGTGATGATATCTGTGGCGTACTTACTACGATATATCAACATCCATAGGACCGGGACTCTTGTGCGCAGCGGCCATGTTCGCTTTGTCAGGTATAACTACGCTTCAAGTCAGTATTTTTCATCGGCTTCATGCCTAGTCCTTCGTATACTATCTGATCGTTATTGTTGCATGCTAGACATACATTTATTACAGATCAGCTTTCGAAGATCATGTAGTAGTGAAACTCATGGTATTGTGCTCACGTCCCGAATGTATCTTGCACATAACATGATCTAGTTCTCGGCAGGTTTACTCTCTGTGGTCTGTCCTCTGCGTCTGAAATTCCATGTCGATAGACTCGATACCAGCTAACAGACTCAATAGGGCTCTGGATATCTTGCACATGATACTTGGTACATTTCCTCTCTTCGGCATATCGATTATACTGAGTCTCTGAAATTCCTACAGTCAGCCATTCTCTATACATCGTAATAGTTAGTGGGATACAGCATAAGTACTGTGCGGCAACTCAATATTGAGGATCTGCCTCTTGGTTTAGGTGATTCACTATGGAAATATCATCGCAATAAATCACGGAGTCTGGTGAGAATTGTCTTTTGCCGAAGTGATACCTCATTGAAACACCAATAATCCTTTACCATTTCGTAGGTCTCTTTACGTGAGCGGCTCTATTTGACCAAGGTGTTATCTCTGTAGCTTACTTACCTTGATAGGTCTCTGTTACTTTGACCGTGAGTTGCTTCGAAGTGACGGGGGTTATGGCTTGTTCTGACAGGCTAGTAGGACGTGACGACGCTAGTAGTGCAAAGGTAGGCCCAAATTCCTCACAGACAATATTTAACCAAACGACTGGGAATAGCTACCTTGCATATATGATATTTCGAGGTAGGACCTCCATTTCATGCACGTCGTGATCAGCCGTTGAATTTCCTTGGTTACAAATCAGTTTGCAAGACGCATTGGAAGCGTAAAGTGACGGCCTTCATTGTGAGAACTGTCCCTGCCAGGCATCACTGTACCCTGACACGGTGACATTATAATTTGATTTTCCAGGTTCTGCTGATCGTTACGAGAACTGGTACGTCTCTGCGCAATATCATAGATATATGGCTTCACCGTAACCCGCATATTGTTCTCGATAGCATTCGCCATACGTGAGTGAGATGAGTGCGACCTTGCCTTGTTTTTCATATCCTTATCCGGAGAGCAGAAACGGCAGTTCTTATGCACGTTGCTTTACTTGTCCAACGTCACCTTCTCCAGCTAATCATACATTTCAGAATGCAAAGATGGAATCTTTCCGAACTTGGTGACGGTACAGTGAGCATAACGATACCGTCTTAGGCACTTATATCGCTTTCATTGTCTGCATTCTGACATAGCCATTCAGCGACAGGCATTCGTTTCGAAGTTAGCGTTATGGGTCACGAGTAATGGCGCTATCATGGTCGGACTTTCCGTGTTGCTGCACACGAACAAGACTGCCTTTTCAAGGTATTTTCATCCCCTCGTCCTCTGTTGAATATTACTCAACTCCAAGATGCATCGACAACTTAGGACGAATACCTTCATTGACAAACTCATTACTTACGCTGTCGAAAGATTCATATTAATCACGTACGCATCTCTTTATGCGAACACATCGTATCGGATATTCATCTACCTCACAGCGTGGTAGTGCTCGTTGAGCTTGTCGGAGTCAGTCCTGTCTCACTTTGATGTGAGGCGAGAATCTGATCTAGTACATGAATTCAAGATCATAGTTTTTCCAAAGGCCACTTGGACGTTAGCCATGGACTTCTTCATCGCACAATGTGAGCTAGGACTTACTGTCGGGAGTCGTGGCTTTACTCACATACTCATATCGTAGTGGAATGCAATTCTCTCCTCGCCATGCTGAACGTTCGACAGAATCTTCGCAGCACGGTCTCGCGCCCCGTACTAGGCCTCGCAAACGTCCACCCGGGTTTGCGACACGACCATCGAGACATAGAGCAGCATCGTCCCACAGTCATCGAAATCCGGCATAACGTCACGACTCACCGTGATACTGGATCTTCGATTGACGAACCTAGGGGTGAGTTGTTGGAGATGAAGGACCTTCAGGAGAAGATGAGCAGTGAGGTGTGAGGCATGAGGAATGAGACGCGAGGATTGCAAGATATGTTGGATACGTTCTTCCGTATAGAACAATTATCACACAATGTAACATCGGAAGTTGAGCGTCGGTCTTGACTGTCTCATTTGACGTCGCCTGGTCTTACGAACTTTCCATACATATGCAAATGATCGACTAAAGGGGGTGGTGACGAACGGTTAGAGCAAGATACAACCGTTCAGAAGGAGGGTGTGAAGTATTCCTGCGCTTGGTAGTTTTTGGATCACGTCATGAAGAGAACACCAACTCGCGAAGTAATGGGAGCCTTCGCCGGGATGACTATGAATGTGGCAAAAAAATCATTTGTGAGATAAAAATTGGATGTGACACAATGGGAGTGTTTGACGATTGCGAAATAGATCCCGGATAAGACAAAACGGGGGCCTATGATATCCGGGAAGTGATGGAGGGAGTCGAGGTGGAGACAGAAAGGGAGAGTGAGACCGAAATTTTAAAGGCGGAATAGTAGTACAGTAACTGATACGCACCATGAAGTCCGCGTTTTGTCTTCAAAACGTATCCCGCTCTCTATTCCACTTCGGCACCTAACCATCCACGTTGAGATCGATGCAATGATGTTCCAGAAAAAAAGACTGATCGCGCCGCGGTATTCCAATCCGTTATCGTGGAACGAATGTGTTTCTATCCTGACGGCGGTCATCTCTCAGCGCCGATGAACACGACAACAAGGGAATTGGACTTTGGGATATTTGGGGAGTCTCGAGAGCGGTGCCCCGAACCTGGTATCGTCCATTCAGAAGATGGGTCAGCAACGGCGTTAGATATACTATAAGACAAGACGAACACAGTAGGGGGAAAGCAACTTACGAAGTCGGGGAGTCAAGACTTCCGTCCCCGCCAAGACATGGCCCCATCGTTTTGGAGCTCTTCGGCGACGCTATCCTAAGCATGAGATTCTCGAATCTGACCCATGTTCAGACGCCACATTGACACCGAGTTAAATAACAGGATCACAGTCCTTAGCTTACTCGTCTGCCTTCGACATCAGCGTCGAAACGTTTAGCACCAGCGTAGACGGATGCCGTGCGGCAATATAAGCTACAAATCGCGTCGATATGGCTCGGGCAGTATCTTAGCGAGCCTTCGCCCTATCTGAGGGCCAAATTATTCACGAGAAATCGTAGACAAATAGGCCTCCATCGGAAGACAGCACAAGGACAGTGATTGGGCGCAGAGTCAGACCGAATTTGCATAGTTCGCGTTCGGAATATTGCTTCAATATGATAGGGAACCGCGTTCATATCACGGTCACGGAAGGTATCAAGTATCTGCATCAGAGGTGACCCAGGTAGGGAGGCTCAAAATAATTAATACGACGTATACAGTTTTATCAACAGAACGTCTTGAACAGAAAGTCATCAGTACGCGCTATGCAATCATATTTTCCTCGTGCAGAGCATGAAAAAGAAGCAAAGCAGAGCGCCCAAGATGTACACATCCCATGAAGTTCAGCAAAGTACTAGTCCTATAGTAAGTGGACGAGCACAGCGATTCAGAGCAGTGGTAGCTGTTGTGGTCGAGAGAAAGAGCGACACGATGTTTACCGTTGCGTTGTTGTGGCACCCATCAAATGTCACTTGAGCCGCTGTGTGGCGTAATACGTCAAGCCACAGCTGATCTTGTCCTTCCTCGTTCTCCTCGTCGTCCTGATCGCTCTGGCTATCCTCTTCGTCGTCAACCACCGCGTTGACTGCTAAGTTACGAATATGTCACTGGCGTCTAATTCGCTTCGAACGACGAGGAACTCGGTTCGTGAACCTGTCGAGCATGCCAGTCCTTCACGTCGTTCCTCCAACCCTTCGTCATCTCCGCAGTCCTCTCAACCGGAGATCTCTTCACCACCCTCATACTCTCCAATCCTTTTATCTTCGCCCAATGTCGTACACGCTGCATCGTCTTTACCACTTGTGCAAGATTCAGCGAACGGGAACGGGGTTGGGACTGGGAGCGGGAATGTAGGCGAAAGAGGAGGAGAAGAGGAGCAGGACGATATCCCACCGCCAGTGTATACGCTCGTGGCAGATGAGAGTGCCGGAGAAAGCACGGTTCCGGTAGACGTTGACGATGGAGGAGAGCCTAATGGCAGCCAAGTCCCCGTTGAGTCCAACCTACCCAGTTCTCCGACAGTCTATCACCAGCCTTCATCACCACAGACATTCCGGCCTTCGACATCCTCCCATGATATCCCCGTTCTCGAAATTCAACCGTCATCTTCTCCACCAAGGCACTCGCCTTCGAGTCCGTCGTTGCCTTCCGCGCCACAATCACCTACTTCGACCCTGCGTCCTATACATGCTCGTTCTTCGTCATCGACGGAGGGACGACCTCTATCCCAGTTTGCCCTCGACTTCTATGCCTCTGCAGGTATAAACTCGGGTACGGATGGTTTTCAACCAGTCCCCGAGAGCTCCACGAACGCTGCGACGAGTATAACGAGTCCGGGTTCGACATCGAATGTGAACGCTGCCACTTCGAGCGCCCAACGACCACCCGTTCCTCCTCGTCCACCCGTTCCTCCTCGTCCACCGTCATCCTACAGCACCTACAACCACGCACCTCCCGTTCGTCAGAATTCCGGGTATGGCGCGTCGGTCGTTCCTCCCCTCCAGCTCGATCCAATTAGCCAACCACCAGGTACTGCAGGACGCGTATCCATGCCTGTACCCATGCCCTCACCTCCCTCGAACGCATCCTACTCCCCGCATCCACAACAATCCCCACATATCCAACCTCCACCTCTGCCCAACTCATTCTCCACGTCCTCGCAATTGAATCCTTCACAGACCCTTCATACACTTACATACTCTCCGTCGTTAGCTGTACCTCCTCTATCGACGATACACCAGTTTGGGCCACACATAGGTCTACAGCCTTCCTCATCGCCTTCATTTGGGCCCCATTCCTCGCCGCCGCCTCCACCTCAGCCACAACCACCCCCATCTCCGCAGCCTCCACATTCACCGTTTCTTCCTTCTCATGCGCCACAGCATCTCTCACCACCTCAACCGGGCTACGCTTCTCCACATCCGCCTCCTCCAGGCCCTCCTCCTCCACCTCGACCTATAACACCGCCGTTCATGCATGCTCCCTCAATATCCATCGCCCCGCCTCCGCCACCATCGCCCTATCCGCCCGTACCCAATCAACCATATGCTCCATACGCCAGCGATAACGACTATTCATTCCCCATACCTTCCACGGGCCCAACGGACCCGTTCGCTTCCACATATCCAAATTCTCCACCGCCTCAAGTATCTCCCCAGTCCTTGTCTGGCTCAGGTCGTAGGCCTGCAGTTTCCGACTTCGCAAGGGCGTTCTATTCCGCTGGTGCGGATTTTGTGGATTCGAGGCTAAACCGAGGTGGTCCCTCACCGAATCCTCAGCCACAGCCAAATCCACAGCCGCAAGGAGGGCCGAATCCACAGCCGAACCCACAGCCGAATCCACAGCCGAATCCACAGCCTGCGTCCATTCAAGATCGCTTAGGAGTGGCGTCAAATCTGTACTCGCGTATGCGCTCGCTTTCTGTTGGAGTCGATTCTGAGTCTTCGAGGGCATCCACGTACGCGCCTCCACCGGGCGATCCGCCACAGTCTAGTATGAGCGGGTCGGACTATCTGATGCCGAGGCCGAGTCTGAACGGTGGGCATGCGCGGCGGAGGAGTTTCGGTGGCCGAATCAGTCCTGGGCCTGGTGTTAACGGTGACGGGACCGGGAGCGGAGCGGGTTCGAGTACGGGAGCTGGGAGTGGCGCTGGTTATGGGAGAGATGGGAGACAGCTACCGGATGCGAGCCCGACAAACGTGCCGGTGCCGGGGCATCCATTGATGAACCAGGGGATGATACTGGTATATCCGAGAGGGTTTGAGTGCGCGAAATGTGAGTTCTTCTTCTTCGCCTTTGTTTTTCTTGTCGATTTCCGGGAACGTTTTAAGGTCTTGTGGTGCTTTCCATTTCGGGTGGCGAAGTCGGTCAAAGCGAAGTTGAACGAGATGCAGACGAGCCTGTTTCGCAGTCTTCGTCGGTGTCTGGGTGATTCCTGGGGGTTACTTCGATGCTGGTCGGTTCTGGTCATCCGAGAATTCGGTAGCACATTCGAGTATCATACCGGTGGCTTCATAGACATATGAACAATTTTCGACTGTTCATCCGCGTCTGAGGTGGTTCTGGTCTAAGCATGAGCCGACTTCGCTCTACCTTCAACCCTTCACCCTTTTTGCCGTTTCTACGTACGACTCAGTTCCCTCGTCGTCCATCGGCTCTTTTCGTCGATGCTAATCCATGGATTCATTTCCCATGTTTGCTCTTTCTCAGGCAAGAACACTGGATACAAGAACGCAGATCCGAGTCGGCCTTGTCGAACGTGCTGGGAACAACACGCCCAGCCTTACGCAGGGCTCTACCTCCACGCACCTTGGGGCTCTCCTACCTCCATCTCCCCCTTATTTTCTCGCGATATTACCTTTCAAAGACCGATCACGTCTGCAAATCATTCGCCATACCACACTCGACACGGCAGAAGGGCTTCCTACTCCGTTCCACACAGCGACGCTGTACCGCAATCTCTTCCGCTACCGCCAGCACCGCCGACACATCCACGCTCTCCTTCTTTGACGTTTTCGCCACCACCACTGTCACAGTCTCCGTACCAGCACCCCTCGAGCTACTTCGCCAACACTAGATCGAACCCGACTCGCGATGGAGCCGTTAGCTGTGGGCCCGAAGAAGGCGGGGGTTGGAGATCGAGGGTGGACGATTTGGTGCAGGTGGCGGAGGGTTGGGCGGGTGGGACGATGTCGTTAACGAGGGCTTTGACGGGTGCTGGCGGAAACGGGAATCAAAATGGAGGTGCGAATGTGAATGGGAGAAGGAACGAAGCGGCAGGAAGTGGTGGGAGATTGAGAAAGAGGGGTACGGGTGGGAGTCGTGACGGTCCAGGTGCACTTGGGTGGCAATGAGCTTGAGTGGGATCGAAACGAGATGGAAAGATGGCGCTTGGGGCACTTTCGCTTTGGTGCGCAGTCACGATGGAGGATTCTTTTGATTCGTGGATATCATTCCTAGTCGCCATTTTTTCAACGCCGCTCAGTGGTAGCTTTTTATTCGCGGACGATTTTTTCGACCTTCCTTGCACTATCTAATCTTCACGAGCATATTTTCTCATTTTCGTCGGCAGGCTAGTTGTCACATAAATTGCTAATTTATTCTCAGTTATTGTTTCCTATTCCGGGGGACAACAAGCGTGAGTTGATCAAGGGAACGAGCTTGAAGCGGCGGTATGCAACGCTGAACAAAGGATCAAACGGATGAAGGGGGATATATATAAGGTCAGCCAGATCCTTCCGAGAACACTTTTCGTTCTTGTTATCGTTCGTCGACCTCTGAACATACCGCACAAGCACTCACGAAGTCATCCAAACTGAGACCAAAGTAAGTACTCTACACATCATCTCGCTCTCTTAGCCGCCCTCGAGTCATGGTATGCCGTTGCGAGACTCGACAGGCGAGCGGCACGCCACACGAGCATTGACCTGCTTTGTTACTATAGCGCTGCAGGGCGTACATCGTGCTCGACGCATATCTCGAGCACTAATCGTATGGAGTCAGGATCCGCTCGTTCCACTCTGAACTCAGGCGTGCACGATCTCGATCTAAAATGGGCGACAATCTTTAAAGAGAACCCTCAACGCGTGGTCGATATCTTTGATTTATCGTCCAACGCTGTTGGGAAAAGGAACAAATGGGGAGACACTATCATGGTACGTACCTCGTCCCGGCGTTGGGGCTATATACCTCACTACCTCGAACATGATAGGATATGGAACATGTTCGGTTCGGCATACAAAACGCCATAGTGACCCCCGACCGACGTGATCAATGGGACGGCCTTGTCGTTGCTGATATTGTCGGCAGGTTATGCGAATGCGTGAATGGTGTACGTTCCACGTTCGGGTACCGTCTTGCTCCCACTCCTCCCGGCGAACCGATGCGGGTGAGAGCGTACGCCAGTTCCTCGTTAGTACACTCCTCAATTTGACTCTTTTCATAGTACCACTCGGCACACTATGATCCACTCTGGTACATCGCACAGATATGTGAAGAACTTGGGTCCAACCGACGCTCGACCAACACAATAGTAGTTTCCACTCTTCGCCGCTACTGGAAGAGCATGATGCAACGTGTGAGTGACGCCACTCCTACCAAACACCGTGATTATATGAGTACAATACTAACCACACACCGTACAGCTATGGGATAAGCCTGGTCAAACTAACGTTCCCCTCTCGGAGATGAAGTTTGAACGAATACCCGTATATGTTATTGTAGAGACAATGTGTGAGGTCACGATGGATACATCCTTTGTATCGGTTCGTTATCTTGCTCTATATCCTGTCAAATAATATCGTGCACTAACCAGTCAATTTTAGATGCTGCAGAAAGATGAGGACCTAACCACACGCCTCATATTTCGCTACTTGATGCACTCCACTACGCCGGACGAGTTCCAAATCATGCCTACCTTCCTCCGTTCGGTATACGTTGGCAATGATACAGACGAAACTCTCAACCACGCTCTGCTGATGAAGAAATTATTCAGAGATATCCAAGTCGGATGTAGGGGCCTCCATCGCTTCATTGAAAAGCTCGAGTGGTTATTACGGAACCTTCACGAGGACCCTTATTTCTGCGGCACCACCATCCAGACTCTCAGCATACTTTTTGACTACAGCGTCATAGCTAGAAAATGCTTGTCGAGGGGCGAGCCCGTCTTTGCGCGATTTTTTGTGAAGAAGAAAGGCATTTGGAAGTCCGTCTTTCAGACTCTTGTTTCAGCTAGGGAGATCGTGCACGGAAGCTCCAGGGTCGAAGCGTCGTCCTCGATGATTGATTTACCCGAGGCGGTAATACAACTCATATCGTGCACCCTTTCGTCTACAGAGGAATCGATTCCCGAAGAATTGATCTCTTTTATTCGACTTCTGGTCCAGGCCGGCATGTTTGCCGCGCTTGATGAGGCTTTAGCACGGTCTACCTCCTCAACAGGCACGTTCAGTATGTATGCTTCAGCTAATATGCCTCGCGCCTACACTTTTGGATTGACTTGACGTTTAGATTACATCCAGACAATACTGTCAATCATCAATCAAGCCGCTGTAGATAACCCATCGCTGTACGCATGTCTACGCCCGGAGCTGCCGCGCCCTCGGTCCCTTCGTGCGCTCTTAGACATGGCCTATATCGGCGCAGAGAAACCATTACCTCCAAACTCATTTCCACGCAGTATTCTTCTAGAAACCGCTCCAGACACAGTAGAGGCCATCCATATTCGACCATGGTTTTACTGGGATACAGTGTCCCAACAGTGCGCGGTATATAAGCAGTGCGCACGAAGAGGGTGCAGCAGGAGGAGAAAGACCAGGTGTAAAGCTTGCAAAACGACGGAATATTGTGGTTATTATTGCCAGAAAGAGTGAGTGACTTTCGCTTCTGAAACGATCAATGTTTTCTGAGCCGTACCCAATGTTGTCATTCACATTTATAGGGACTGGAGCGAGCACCGCTTGATCTGTGGGTTCACGATCTTCGAGGTTCCCGATGGGTCATGCGAGTCCGAATCCAGGCTCGACATAACTTATCCGTCAAGATTTCCAGTCGTGTCGTGTGGACACGGTGGATTTTGATATGTACTTATAGCCTCTGTCGATGTAGGCTCTTCCATATGCAACCGATACGAAGAAATGATCATGGCCTCCACGCTTTCAGTGAGAAATCAAAAATGTTGGGGTTCCCGCATGAGGATGCTCAAATGGAGGGCTCGCCGTTTCATTTGGACTAATACTGTTGGTCAAGTGGTACTAGAGAGTCTAGAAGCAGTGCCGTGCGTATACTTGGAGGCATACTCAGTATGTTTGTTCCAACCTTGAACCTTCCGACTGCACGTTTTCTCGCCCTTCACTTTCTTCCGCTCACGGTCTCTAACGTAGGTGTCTGCCACGAACGCGCTCAGAATACTACAACGTGGGATCACTTCCGTCTTGATTCCCGACAAGCCACCAACGACTTGATGCGGTTGTTCGCGTGGTGATGACGCTTCCTTGTTTTGCGCAGTACGTCGCAAGCTAACCATGCTACTTACCGAACACGTACCATACCGTCGCTGATACTCTTGAATCTGATCGATGTCCATCGCATGCTGGGGTGAGTTTGGGTGGGTATATGTACAGAAATTAAGGAGGAAGACATATGTAGCATGCGGAGAGAATGATGGGGACGAATGAGAAGATCCGCACTGGGAAGGACGGAAAACGAAGTGCGGATCATGAAGACCTTGGGCAGCCTTGGGCGCACAAAAAACATCATCATTCTACATCACAATCAGCTAAAAACATGATCATTGCAAAGTACGACACAACTCCCTTCGATTTCTTATCTCTAGGTTCTCACTAGGTTTGAGTGGCATGATCGAGGAGACCGGATGGGTCTTATTGAAGAGTTCATCAACGATGTCTATTCCTGTTTAACTCATGCGGCGCCCAAGCGGGTTGGGCTTGCGCCGTTACCCCCTGCGGTAAAGGCCTGAGAAGATCGTTGACGAGTCCTTTCTATTTATCAGCTACTCGACTATTCTGTGCTCTGCGGACATTCCTAAGTATCTCTCGAGCTCTCTTTCCTCCTCGATGAATTGCACAGCTAACTTTACGCAAGACTGCACTGAAGCCCTACAGAGCATACATTTGTGGGCCGAATCACAGATCACAGATCTCCTGATCAATATGGTTGTCTTATCCGTCGAGACTGGGCTATACAGTGCGTCTTTGTCCTGATGCCACCATAACAGGCTGACTAGTAGTCCGGTATCTTCAGCATTGTCAATTGCGTTATTTTCTGTTTCTACATACATATTATGGTGCGTATATAGTCCTGAGTGCCCGCTGGGTACGTATAGTATCCTGCTCATTGTGTACTTCAGGTCAAGAAGTCTACTCGTCAGAACCAATCTGGTCATGTGGTCTGCGACTTGCCTGATGTTTACAGTTTCTACGGCACACTACGTCTTACAATGGGTCTTCGTATTGGTAACTAATACGGAGGATCAAGCAACGGTGGACGGTTTCCGTGTTCTGTTCTACCGTGGAGATCCCTATATTTGGCCTGAGAACCGACTTTGGACCGCTCTGAATTATACGATAAACTATCTTCCCATCATCAACGTGAGTTGCTCTTGTCAAACTGTCCGAAAAGTCTGATTATTGACACGCTTGTCATGCAGTATCTTATGAGTGATATCATCGTCTTTTGGCGGGCGTGGGTGTTATGGGATCATAGCCCACGCATCATGACTTTGGGGACCTTTCTAGTGGCAGGTACCGCTGGTGTGTTTCATAGATTGACTAAGAGTTCACTCTCCCAGGCTGACCAGCACTTTAGTGGCCGCAGTTGTCTGTCACGGCGGGGGAACCACTATTTAGAGCACGCTAAAGGCATTTCTATTGTGAAATCAATATTTTATACATAGAGGGGAAAATGCAGTCGTCCAAATACCAGATTTAGCGTAGTTTGATGTGTAATCTATTGTTTTCCTTTGGATTCCGCTTCAAAGTTTCCCATGTCGGAGGCTGATGAAAAAAAATGGACCCGAGCGAATGATAATATTTGGACTAAACTTTAGAGTCCTCCAAAGGAGGATCTATATATTTTATCTTGATCTCAATATGGCGGCAGTGAAAGCCAGCCTTTGGAGTGCCCGATTTGGTGCACCAAAGATAAACAATCCAGCCCAATATGGCGCTCGCTATAGTTCAACTTTGG